TGACTGACAAATCTATGGATATAGCAGCCTGTAGCCTAATTTCATCTGTCAAAAAAAGTAGGCCTACCTCTTATTTCTTAAATAGGAAGACATAGGCTGCAACACAAAGCCCTCTTGTAAGTCTAATTAAAATGAAGACGGTTTAAATGAATTATGTCTACTCGAATTTGTCTAATTTCAGCACCTGTGAGCTGTCCGTTTCTGATTGATTGTGCCGTGGCTGCTACTTCAAATTTCATCACCACAATGTAAGTTAGTCGAATCTGGCTTATTGTGAGGTCAATTACTCTGATAAATACATCAAGAAACCTATTGTTTTTATTTATTAAATTAGTTGCAATATCCATTGCAGTGTGTAATGCAGCCTAGTTTTATTTACACAATCCCAGCAGCTACCTTAGAAATATAACTTTGCTCTGTGCTTCTCCGAGCATGCACTTTGTAGCTTATAGGCTATTGAACATTTGAGACCACACTAAATAGCCTATAGGTACACTTGATATTGTGCGCCCAGCAGAGAATCAGAGATAAGGGGCAGCATCGGGCACACATCGATTATACACTGAGTGTACAAAACATTAGGAACATCCGCTCTTTCCATGACATAGACTGACCAGGTGAATCCAGGTGAAAGCTATGATCCTTTATTGATGTCACTTGTTAAATCCACTTCAATCAGTGTAGATGAAGGGGAGGAGACAGGTTAAATAATAATTTGTAAGCCTTGAGACAAATGAGACATGGATTGTGTATTTGTGCCATTCAGAGGGTGAATGGGCAAAACAAAATATTTAAGTGCCTTTGAATAGGGTATGGTAGTAGGTGCCAGTCACACCGGTTTCAGTGTGTCAAGAACTGCAATGCTGCTGGGTTTTTCACGCTCAATAGTTTCCCGTGCGTTTCAAGAATGGTTCACCACCCAAAGGACATCCAGCCAACTTCACACAACTGTGGGAAGCATTAGAGTCAACATGGGCCAGCATCCTTATGGAACGCTTTCGACACCTTGTAGAGTCCATGCCCCGATGAATTGAGGCTGTTCTGAGGGCAAATGGGAGTGCAACTCAATATTAGGAAGGTGTTCCTAATGTTTGGTATACGCAGTGTGCAGGCTAATAAGCAACTAATTCTAAAACTGTCAAAGGCTGTCAAAAAGTGATTAACTTCATATCGATTTACCAATGGTAATTTTTCTGGGAATATAACGTTATTTATGGATTTGTATGTAAGAAAAGGGTGACTTTTATCACTCTTTCTATTTAATGTGGCGATCAAAATACTTGTATTTGTTTACGTACTATTAGCTGATTATCACAGTAGAAGTTAGTTTTTTTTTTGTGTGTGTTTCTTTGAGCAACGATTGTTTGTAAAGGGCAAATAAATAGCAGCTTGTGTCTAGCTTGTGTTAGATCCATTTGGGGTCAGCAAACAGTCAACAGACTTAATGTACACCCAAAAGGTCATTTCAACACATGTTTTAGGCTCTGAGTCCGTCTGGCTGGTCTCATGAACATTCACCTCCTTTAGTCCGCTCTGGAATGTCTGTCCACTCTCTTCAGATCTCCTGTTATGTTTGGAAGTTTCCCATTCCCAAGTTCAAAGCATGCCCTTTGTTTCAGAAACCAAATAGTATCCACAACATTCCACACTGAAAAATGATAAAAGGAATGTTTTTATTAAGATATATCATGATTTATGGCCAGGGATCTTACACTATCCAGACATTTGGACTGCTTGTCATGTTTAATACTAACATGTCATGTTAAATATCAAGTGGAATGGATGTTGCCTCGTTATCGCGTCAAGTCTATCTCCCCCTGTCTCTGAACCCTGGTACCCTGTAGCGTCGGGGGCTCAGCCTGACTACCTCTCCCTTATCGCTATGTTTCAGATGACCTTATTATTGACATAAGAGAATGTGTGGCTTCCATCCATCCCCCAGGAGACCCAGAGGAAAACATAAGCTCAGACAGGCATTTAGCTATTAGATTTTCTTGGACCGATTAGTTTTCTTGGACCGATTTAGTTTTCTTGGAGCGCATTTTGAACAGTGATGTACATAGATCCATCCCAGTGTAATCTATATGTATCAGTTAGAGCCCATTAGTGATTTTAAACCACTGTAGAGGTGCAGGGGTAGGCAGTCTGTTCCTCCTGGCTAGGAAGGAATGCAGTAGGGAAGGGTGGGATAGGAGGGGTTCAGAGAAACACCCCGCTGCAGCTTGTGTGTCAGGCAGCTCAGGCATTCCGACCCAGCTGGCCCAGGCCTCAGACACACAAACACACACACGCACACACACACACCCTATAAATGTGGGGTGGTATGTCACACTGTAGGGTGGAGGCACGGAGGAGGGAGAGAAGGAATGAGGGAGGATCATTATGAATGAGGGAGGGAGAGAAAGACATGAGGAGGGGGAGGAGAAAGGAGGGAGCGGGTTTAGATATAGAAGGCAATGAGGGAGGAGGAGGAAAAGGCAGAAGGCATGAGGGAGGAGGAGGAGAAGGCATGAGGGAGGAGGAAGGAGACGGCATGAGGGAAGAGGGAGGTAGAAGGCAAGAGGAGGAGAAGGCTTGAGGGAGGAGGAAAGACGGCGAATGCATGAGGGAGAGGAGAAGCAGGCATGAGGGAGGAGAAGGAGAAGGCATCAGAGGGAGAGGAGGAGAAGGCCTGAGGGAGGGGGAGGGAGAAAGGATGAGGGAGGAGGAGGAGCAAGCATGAGGGAGGAGGAGGAGAAGCATGAGGAGGAGGAGGAGAGGATGAGGGAAGAGGAGGAGAAGGCATACATTGAGGGCGGAGGAGCGCGAAGGCATGAGGGGGGAGGAGGAGGACGGCCATGAGGGAGAGGAGGAGAAGGCAGAGGGAAGGAGGAGGGAGGGAGAGGAGAAAGCGGGAGGAGGGAGGAGGAGAAAGCGGGGAGGGAGGGAGGGAGGGAGGGGAGGCGGGAGGGGAGGGAGGAGAAGGCAGGAGGAGGGAGGGGGAAGGCGGGGGGGAGGAGGAGGAGAGGGAAGGGGGGAGGGAGGGAGCGTAGAAAGCGGGAGGGAGGGAGGAGGAGAAGACAGGAGGGAGGAGGAGGAGAAGGCAACTGAGAGAGGAGAGAGGGAGGGAGGAGGCAGAAGGCGGGATGGAGGGGGGAGGAGGTAGGAGGAGACGGCGGGAGGGAGGGAGGGAGGGAGGGGAAGCGGGGGAGGGAGGGAGGAGACGAGAAGGCCGGAGGGAGGGGAGGAGGAGTAGAAGGGGGAGGGAGGGGAGGAGGGGGCAGGCGGGCGGGAGGGAGGGAGGGGAAGGCGGGGGAGGAGGCGGGGCGGAGGGCGGGGGAAGACGGGAGGGAGGGGGCTGGGAGCAGGAGGGAGGAGGAGGAGGCATGAGGGAGGAGGGAGGAATGGGGGAGGAGCAGGCGGGGAGGGAGGGAGGGGAGGAGAAGGGCAGGCGGGAGGAAGGGAGAAAGAGCGGGAGGGAGGAGGAGGAAGAAGGATGAGGGGGAGGAGGCGAGAAGGATCGAGGGAGGAGGAGGGGAAGGCAGGAGGGAGGAGGAGAGAGGCGGGAGGGAGGGCGGAGTAGAAGCCGGGAGGGAGGGAGGAAGGGGAGAAGAACAGGAGGGAGGAGGAGAAGGCGGAAGGGAGGGAGGGGAAGGAGGGAGGGAGGGAGGAGGAAGGCGGAAGGGAGAGGGAGGAGGAAAGAGATAGGGAGGGGAAGGAGGCATGAGGGAGGAGGAGGAGGAGAAGGCGGGAGGGAGGGAGGAGGAGAAGGCGGGAGGGAGGGAGTCGGGGATAGGCGGGGGGAGGGGGGAGAGAAGGAGGAGGAGGAGGGAGGGCAGGGAAGGCGGGCGGGAGGAGGAGGAGAAGGTGGGAGGGAGGGGAGGAAGGAGTAGAAGAGGAGGGAGGGCGGAGGAGAAGGACAGGAGGAGGAGGAGGAGGGGCATGAGGGAGGAGAGAGGGCGGGAGGAGAGAAGGCGGGAGGGGGCGGAGGAGGAGGGAAGGAGGGGAGGGAGGAGGAGGCGAGAAGGGAGAGGGGAGGAGAAGGTGGGAGGGAGGAGTAGAAGACGGGAGGGAGGGAGGAGGAGAAGACCGGAGGGATGGAGGAGGAGAAGGCGGGAGGGAAGGGAGGGAAAGGTCGGCGGAAAGGTCGGGGAAGGAGGGAGGAAGGCGGGGAGGGAGGGAGGGGGTGGGTAAGGCGGGAGGAGGGGAGGGAGGGAGGGGAAGGCGGGGCAGGGAGGAGGGAAGCGGGGGAGGGAGGGAGGGGAAGACGGGAGGGAGGGGAAGGCAGGAGGGAGGGAGGAGGAGGCCTGAGGGAGGGAGAGAGGGAGGGAGGAGGAGAAGGCAGGCGGGAGGAGGAGGAGAAGGCATGAGGGAAGAGGAGGAGAAGGCATGAGGGAGGAGGAGGAGAAGGCATGAGGGAGGAGGAGGAGAAGGCATGAGGGAGGGAGGAGAGGGAGGGAGGAGGAGAAGGAGGGAGGGAGGAGGAGAGGCGGGAGGGAGGAGGAGGGAGGGAGGGGAAGGGAGCATGGAGGGAGGGAGGAGGAGAAGGCGGGAGGGAGGGAGGGGAGGGGAAGGCAGGAGGGAGGGAGGGGGAAGGCGGGAGGAGGAGGAGGAGAAGGTGGGAGTGGAGGGAGGAGGAGAATGCATGAGGGAGGAGGGAGGAGAGCGAGAGGGAGGAGGAGGAGAAGGCGGGAGGGAGGGGGAGGGAGGGGAAGGCGGGGGGAGGGGAGGAGAAGGTATGAGGGAGGGAGGGAGGGGAAGGAGGCATGAGGGAGGGAGGAGGAGAAGGTGGGAGGGAGGGAGGAGGAGAGAGGTTGGGAGGAGGAGAAGGCGGGAGGGAGGAGGAGGGAAGGAGGGGAAGGAGGCATGAGGGAGGGAGGAGGAGAAGGCGGGAGGGAGGGAGGAGGAGAAGGCGGGAGGGAGGGAGGACGAGAGAAGGAGGACGAGAGAGGGAGACGGAAGGAGAAGGCAGGAGGGAGGAGGAGAATGCGGGAGGGAGGGAGGAGGAGAAGGTGGGAGGGATGGGAAGGAGGCATGGGGGAGGGGGAGGTGGCATGATGGAGGGGGAGGAGGCATGGGGAGGAGAATGCATGAGGGAGGAGGAGGAGAAGGCGGGAGGGAGGAGGAGGAGAAGGCGGGAGGGAGGGAGGGAGGAGGACAAGGCGGGAGGGAGGAAGGCATGGGGGAGGGGAGGGTGGCATTGTGGAGCACTCCTAGTTGTTTATGAAGGGTGACATGACATGTGATGCGGTAAATCGTTGAGCAGAACATTTTCATGCACATGGATGGACTCCTTGTTTTAACTACAAACATTCAACCTCTGGTTTAGTGTATTCTCACAATGTTAGGAGAAATGGCTTGATAGTTTTGGTGTTTCTCTGCAATTACGGTAGGTCTCTGTGAGGTCTGTGTGAGCAGCTGAATGGAGGACTGTTTGGAATGCCCTACACCCAACCAATCGTTGTTCATTTTGCTAGGATGCCAATGTCCATTTTTGTTATACAGCTCTGGAAAAATTAAGAGACCACTGCAAAATTATCAGTTTTTCTGGTTTTACTATCTATTATTTGCAGAAAATGACAACTGGTCAAAATAACAACAAATATGCAGTGTTGTCAGACCTCGAATAATGCAAAGAAAAGAAGTTCATGCTCATTTTTAAACAACACAATACTAATGTTTTAACTTAGGAAGAGTTCAATATTTGGTGGAATAACCCTGATTTTCAATCACAGCTTTCATGCGTCTTGGCATGCTCTCCACCAGTCTTTCACATTGATGTTGGGTGACTTTATGCCACTCCTGGTCGCAAAAATTCAAGCAGCTCGGCTTTGTTTGATGGCTTGTGACCATCCATCTTCCTCTTGTTCACATTCCAGAAGTTTTCAATGGGGTTCAGGTCTGGAGATTGGGCTGGCCATGACAGGGTCTTGATCTGGTGGTCCTCCATCCACACCTTGATTGACCTGGCCGTATGGCATGGCGCATTGTCATGCTGGAAAAACCAATCAGAGTTGGGGAACAATGTCAGAGCAAAAGGAAGCAAGTTTTCTTCCAGGACAACCTTGTACATAGCTTGATTCATGGGTCCTTCACAAAGACAAATCTGCCTGATTCCAGCCTTGCTGAAGCACCCCCAGATCATCACTGATCTTCCACCAAATTTCACAGTGGGTGCGAGACACTGTGGCTTATAGGCCTCTCCAGGTCTATTCTAACCATTAGACGACCAGGTGTTGGGCAAAGCTGAAAATTGGACTCATCAGAGAAGATGACCTTACTCCAGTCCTCTACGGTCCAATCCTTATGGTCTTTTGCAAACCTCAGACTGGCTCTTCTTTGCTTCTCATTGATGAAGGGCTTTTTTCTAGCTTTGCACGACTTCAGCCCTGCCCCTAGGAGCTTGTTTCGAACCGTCCTCGCCGTGCACTTCACCCCAGCTGCCGTTTGCCATTCTTTTTGTAGGTCACTTGATGTCATCCTACGGTTGTTGAGTAACATTCGAATGAGTTGGCGGTCATCCCGGTCAGTAGAGAGTAGTTTTTGCCCTCTGCCGGTCTGTAGCTTTGTTGTCCCCAATGTCTGCTGCTTGAACTTGTTCTTATGAACCGCCTTCATTGAAATGTTAAGGATGGAAGCAACCTGACGCTCACTTTATCCCTCTGCCAGTAAAACCAGAATTGAACCCTTCTTTTCCTCACTCAAAACTTTCCTTTTCAACTCTTTTGGCATGGTCAATAGTTCTTTTTTGATTAATATTACTTTTGATGTACTATTAGTGTCACGCCCTGGCTCTGGGGACTCTTTAATGTTGAGCCAGGGTGTTAGTTTCTATGTTTAGTTTTCTAGGTTTCTGTTCTAGATCGTTGTATTTCTATGTTGGCCAGGGTGGTTCCCAATCAGAGGCAGCTGATTCTCGTTGTCTCTGATTAGGAACCATACTTAGGCAGCCTGTTGACACTTTTGTATTGTGGGATCTTGATCCGTAAGGTTTGTGTTTAACCCTAGGACTTCACGTATCGTTTATTGTTTTGTTCGTGTGTGTACTCATTAAAAGAATGTACGCTTATCACGCTGCGCCTTGTTCCGCTTCTTATGACGATCGTGACAGAAGATCCCACCAAAGAAGGACCAAGCAGCGTGTTCAGGAGCAAACGCCGGGTAAGGAACTGGAGAAGTTGGCGATGTCCCAGGTGGGCGAATGGTGGTCTTGGGAGGACATGTTCGCGGGCAGAGGGCCATGGGCAAAAGTTAAGGCCCTGGCGAGAGAGGAGGTTCGGCGCCAACCGTGCCGTCGTCGGACAGGCGAGAGGCAACCCCAAGTAATTTTTTGGGGGGGGCACACGGCATGGACGACGGGGCTGCTGGAGGCCACCAGGTTACGGGGGCCATTGGTCATGAGGGGGAAGGAGAGTGTAGAGGCACGGCGAGAGGTACTGGGGTGTGTTACCAGTCCGTCCGGCCCGTTCCTGATCCCCGCACAAGGCCAGTGGTGTGTGTTCCCAGTACGGTCCGGCCTGTTCCTGTCCCTCGCACCAAGCCTGTGGTGCGCCTCGCCAGCCCGGTCCGGCCTGTTCCTGCTCCCCGCACCAAGCCTGTGGTGCGCGTCGCCAGCCCGGTCCAGCCTGTTCCTGCTCCCCGCACCAAGCCTGTGGTGCGCGTCGCCAGCCCGGTCCGGCCTGTTCCTGCCCCTCGCACCAAGCCTGTGGTGCGCGTCGCCAGCCCGGCCAGGCCTGTTCCTGCCCCTCGCACCAAGCCTGTGGTGCGCGTCGCCAGCCCGGCCCGGCCTGTTCCTGCCCCTCGCACCAAGCCTGTGGTGCGCGTCGCCAGCCCGGCCCGGCCTGTTCCTGCCCCTCGCACCAAGCCTGTGGTGCGCGTCGCCAGCCCGGCCCGGCCCGTGCCTGTTCCACCTGTGCCTGGTCCGGCACCGGTCAGCTGCTCCACGCCAGAGCAATCCGCTCCACTGGTGTTCAGTCCAGCTCCGGCGAGCAGGGCCAGACCACGAGGGCGAGAGAGAGAGTGATGGTCACGCCCGGAGCCGGATCCGCCTCCGAGGCGGAATGCCCACCCGGCCCATCCCCTGTTGGGTTTAGTTGGCGCGGTCGCAGTTCGCGCCTTTGGGGGGGAGGGGTACTGTCACGCCCTGGCTCTGGGGACTCTTTAATGTTGAGCCAGGGTGTTAGTTTCTATGTTTAGTTTTCTAGGTTTCTGTTCTAGATCGTTGTATTTCTATGTTGGCCAGGGTGGTTCCCAATCAGAGGCAGCTGATTCTCGTTGTCTCTGATTGGGGACCATACTTAGGCAGCCTGTTGGCACTTTTGTATTGTGGGATCTTGATCCGTAAGGTTTGTGTTTAACCCTAGGACTTCACGTATCGTTTATTGTTTTGTTTGTGTGTGTACTCATTAAAAGAATGTACGCTTATCACGCTGCGCCTTGGTCTGCTTCCTACGACGATCGTGACAATTAGCACTGTTTTTACCATCCAGCTGGTCCTATTGCAAGAGGATAGTGATGACCACAGCAGTGGTTTTTATACTTTTCCTCGTTAAATAAGATTTGTTTCAGGTGATCACCTAATCAGTACCTAATTCAGTAGATGAGGTGTGCCTGTGTTGGAATTCAACAGACACTGGAATGGAATGGCTGTCATACATGTAGAGATGCTGATTTAAGAAAAATTTGCAGTGGTCTCTTAATTTTTTCCAGAGCTGTATTTAATACTGTGTGTTTACACTAAACAGACAATAAAGCTTCAGAACATTAAACTTTTAATTGTTGACGTCTGCGTCCTGCAGGTCTGAAGGAGAAGTGTGTGGACAGCCTGGTGTTTGAGACGCTCATCCCCAAGCCCATGAGCCAGCACTACATCAGCCTGCTGCTAAAACACCGCCGCCTCATCCTGTCTGGGCCCAGCGGCACCGGCAAGACCTACCTCACCTCCCACCTGGCAGAGTACCTGGTGGACCGCAGTGGCCGAGACCTCACTGACGGTATCGTGGTCACCTTCAACATGCACCGCCAGTCATGCAAGGTGGGGACAGGACCATGTGCCATACATACGGCAACACGGTTCCTCACTCCTAGTTTTACAGAGGAGCTATAGGATGTGCAGGGTTTTGTTTCAGCCCAGTACTAGTAATAGACCTGACCCAGCTCATTATAAACTAATCATTTAGGCTATCACTAATCATCAGATGTGTTAGTGCTGGACAGGCACAAAAGCATGTACACCTTACAGCTCAGGACCAAGAGAAAGCAGTCATCTGTCATGGGGTTTGTGATTTAACACCATACATCTATAGCATGACTTCTCTCCCTCTCCTCCCTCTCAACAGGATCTCCAACTCTACCTGTCCAACCTGGCCAATCAGATCGATCGGGAAACCAGCACCGCTGAAATCCCATTGGTGGTCATCCTGGATGATATACATGATGCCACTTCCATCAGTGAGCTTGTCAATGGGGCCCTCACCTGCAAATACCACAAATGGTGAGCGGACTAACACACTGAACAGAAGCTGAAATGGAACCTTTTATCAAACATCTATAGCGACATTTCTAGTAAAGGATTGTTTCTAGTCTGAACTGATGATTCTGTCTATTTCAGTCCTTACGTCATTGGAACTACCAACCAGCCAGTGAAGATGACCCCAAACCACGGCCTGCACCTCAGCTTCAGGTAATTGAAGAGACAAATCATGTTTTATTTTTGTTCTGACCCAGCCTTAAACCACCTCTTTGAAGGCTATATCCCTGCCATTAATCTATGCTTTGATGCATATTTAAATTAGGATATTGGCCGTCTAATATATAGGTACATTAGATAATGTGCTTTAGGATATGTACAGCATGTCCTGACCTTTGACCCTCCCCTGACCCCCAGGATGGTTACCTTCTCCAATAACGTGGAGCCAGCCAATGGCTTCCTGGTGCGTTACCTGCATAGGAAGTTGATGGAGGCGGAGGACGAGAGGAGCCTGGCCAACGAGGACCTCCTCAGGGTGCTGGACTGGGTGCCCAAGCTGTGGTACCACCTGCACACCTTCCTGGAGAAACACAGCACCTCCGACTTCCTCATCGGTAGGAAAACATTCTGTTTTAAGGGAGAAATAATACAGGAATGTAAAGTTAGATCACACTTTATTTGGATAGTCCCCTGTGGATGGTCTACAGATCTAAATCTACATACTATCCAAAATAAATAATACCTAAAGTTAGTTAGATATTGGTGACCTGTTTGTAGTCTATGGTCACAGACTGTGTGTTTGATTGGATGTGGTCATTGAAAGATATCTTTAATATGATTTATTCTCTCTTTATTTCCTGTGTCTCTGTCTCTGTGTCTCTGTCTCTGTGTCTCTGTCTCTGTCTCTGGGTCTCTCTCGCTGTCTCTCTCTCGGTCTCTCTCTCTGTCTGTCTCTCTTCTCTCTACCTCTCTCTAGGCCCGTGCTTCTTCCTGTCCTGTCCTGTGACTGTGGAGGAGTTCCGCTCCTGGTTCATTGACCTGTGGAACCTCTCCATTATCCCCTACCTGCAGGAAGGAGCCAAGGATGGCATTAAGGTCAGACATGTTTTATTATCCCGGTAGATCAATTATAGCCTGGTCCCAGATCTGTGCTGTATCGCCAATTCCTATTGTCATTGCCACGTCAAGCATTTAGCGTAACGGCATAACCAGATCTGGGACCACCCTAGATGAATTACAGGTTTGTCCTGAAAAAAAGTGGATAGGACAGTGGTTGGGTCAGTGTATGACGGTGTTGTGGCTTTGTGCCACAGGTGCATGGTCAGAAGGCAGTGTGGGAGGACCCAGTGGAGTGGGTGAGGGGCACCCTACCCTGGCCCTCAGCCCAACAGGACCAGGCCAAGCTGTTCCACCTGCCTCCCCCCAGCATGACCTCTGGAGGCCCCGGCCAGCCCAGCGAGGCCTCAGCCAGGCCTCTTAATAAGGAGACCCCACCCAGCTCCATGGACACCCTGGACCCACTGGTGAGACACTCGTCTTCCCATTCATGTACCCTAGGGGTAGGCAACTGTGGTCTCGGAGGTCCCACAGTGTGTGTAGGATGTGGTTGTAGTCCAGCAACGATACACCTGATTCACCTAATAGTGGCCAAATATGAGGAGCATTATTTGTTGATTAGTTGAATCGGGTGTGTACAGCACGAGCTGGGCTGGAGCAAAACCCTGACACACACTGTGGGGCGCCTGTTTCCCAGCCCTGCTGTAAGGCCTTCTCTGGCCTTGTCTGTGTCTCAATTCTATTACTGTATGTGCTTGGAAGGAATCTTAGTCACCATACTAGTATAGAGTTACATTGAAATGATCTGTCTTTCCTGACCCTTCTCTCCTTTGTCTGTTGTTTCAGATGGCGATGTTGTTGAAGTTGCAAGAGGCAGCCAACTACATTGAATCTCCAGACAGAGAAACAATGGACCCCAGCCTCCCTACACTTTGAACATCAACTTCAACTGTAGACTCAAAACCTAGCACTTCAAATAGCCCTACATATTTCCCCCTATGTGAGCTTCAGTGTATAATATTCAGGAACAACAACTCTCCAATATAGTTTCCTGCTAATTTTGTAACTTATCTTGAACCTTAGCAAAAAACAATCATACTCCATATGGTTGAATGAGAAGCCGTTTTGTTTTGTTCTGTTGTTTTGAAACTTTATTCAATCATGCCAAGTTATTCCAACAGACATTATAGCGATATAAAACATTTCGATTTTCTATTTCTGCCAATTTTCTTGAACTAAAGGTTATATTTACAGTATAAAGTCTCTCTTTCTTTATGGAAGACTTATCTCTATCACTGCTGCCCTCAATAGAAACAGGTGCTAATTATCTAGATAATAAGTATTACTCTTTAGAAATTCATCCTCATCTCTCATTCGTCTAAGCAGGTGATTCTTCCAACAGCACATTTAAAAGACAAAAAAAAGCACATTCTTGCTTATCCGCTTTTGCTCAACAACAGCAACATGGCCTGCAGTGTGCCTGTAAAATCAAGTCCGTTTGAAACCTGTTTTCGGCTTATTGGAAAGAGAATGACGGCATGTTGACGGCATGTCAGGTTGTATAGTGTCCTGTTCCTGAATACATATCTATCTATCAATCTTTGAAGGCCAAATCTTAGACATATGCAACTCTTATACATAACCAGGTGAACTGTTTTGACTCTGTGCTCAAACAAACTGAATGCCTTAATACATATATTCCTGATGGTCACCTCAAGATGGACAGCAGTATTCAATCGTGGTGCTTTGCTTTCATAACCATCGCCTCAGAGCAGAGTAGTGCCAGAACATTCACTTTTCCCTCCCTCACATGGTTCCGGGGTGATTTAAAGGTCATCTAACTATATTTTACAGATAACAATATGTTGCAGGTAGGGTAGATGGTGATGATCAGGGTTTCAATGTCAAGTGAGAAAATAGAGGATTGAACAGAGCAGAACACAGATTATTTCCTTATGGTTAATATCTTTCATTATCATTCACGGCAAAAACAACTGTGCAAAATTACAGATGCTGTCATACTCATAACTAAAACAGGGGGGAAAAAATATCAGTACGTACTAATGTCAGCTTCTGTTGTACTAGTCCATCGTTTTGTTGCAGGCAGCATATTTTTTATTTATTTGACTGAACTGACATAGACATATATTTGAAATCTAACTACCTGTTTGAAGAAATAAGGCCATGATAGTACCACTTTCATATAAATCAGGTATTACTAAGAAAGTTATTTTGTATGAATAATGCTTGAGCAAATGCTATTTGCTTATAGCGTAGATATTCCTCAACTTTTATTTTAAAGATGGTGAGGTATCATCTAATATATTCCACGCAATTATCCAATATTGTTACTGTGCTCAATTCTTTATGTAGATATTCATTTCAGTTTTATCTACACTAGTTGCATGGTGCAAATATCGTATATGCTGAACCAAATATTTTACTGTAATCTTGCATATTGACTGTCTAGTTAGGGGGTCAGAGTATAAAAGTGCTTAAAATAATGAACATTTAGATATTTTCCTCAATGTGTTGGCCATGTAACATCGCAGATCATTTAGGTGCTTTTGAATGTAGCCTTTTTTTACAAAGCTACTCTCTCATTCCTTGCAGAAACATGTATTTAGGCCTATACTCACCCGCCTATACCAAGACGGGTGAGTGAACATAATTTAGAGCTCTCTGTTGCACCCCACAAACCGTTGTGATCAGAGGTTAACAATCGTACATCTATTGTATCTCGCAATGGTGCTGTCCACCTTTTGACTGGTACTATTGCTTTGCTCATCTTTGGTTTAGTTAATGACCATACAGACACACCGCATAAAATGGAAGAAATATTGATTTGCTCATCAGCAACGATCAAGGACCATTTCCCACTTCACAGTCATACATATAGGAAGATAAACTTATCAAAACAAGATAGAAGTCACAGGCAATGTACATTTTTATTTTTAAAAAAATGAAATTGTAAAGTAGAGTGGGTTACATTAGTGTTCTCAAAAGATGCATTTGGCCATACTGACTGATGCTGAAACAGTGTAGGAGAATGTCTCTGTTTTGGACTCCACACTTGATCATAAATCACCTGTATATAAACTGTAAAATGAATGTTAAATTGCTTTCTTTGTACAATCGTTATCACAACCGAAAGAAACGTTGCACACTATTAAAGGTCATTATTAAGCAAACTGGAACTAAACCACCATGATAACGTTAAAACATTATTTATTTTTTGTTCTTTTGCATCAAACTGTTAATGAGTGGAAAGTGCATCTGATGACATCAAACTGTTAATGAGTCCAAAGTGCATCTGATGACATCAAACTGTTAATGAGTCCAAAGTGCATCTGATGACATCAAACTGTTAATGAGTCAAATCCATCTGATGACATCAAACTGTTAATGAGTCCAAAGTCCATCTGATGACATCAAACTATTAATGAGTCCAAAGTCCATCTGATGACATCAAACTATTAATGAGTCCAAAGTCCATCTGATGACATCAAACTGTTAATGAGTCCAAAATCCATCTGATGACATCAAACTATTAATGAGTCCAAAGTCCATCTGATGACATCAAACTATTAATGAGTCCAAAGTCCATCTGATGACATCAAACTGTTAATGACTTGAAGTGAATGGCTTTTGCTTCCCTGTGTGGTCACATTATGGCAGGTTTGCGTTTTTTGTCATGAATCTTGTACTGGAGGCAGCTCTGCAGAGTGGTCACTAGCTGGCACAGCCACAAAGTCATTAACTCTAATTTTAAACCTAACCTCTAGCATGAACCACACTGCTAACCTAATGTCCTAACCCTAACCTTAATAAATTTAATCCAAAAGGGCATTTTTTTTTTTTTTTTATAATTTTTTACAATGTAGCCAGTTTTGACTATGCAGCTGGCCCATCTAGCGGAAATCTCTCAGTTCTGCCTCAAAGACAAGACTCATCCCAATAAACGTCAACCTTCCACATTTTTACAAATGGAAAGAAATCCTTGATGAAACATATGTGGGAAAAAATGCCCCTTTGGCCTATCCATTTCACAATGGCACCATGAGACCCATCTGGACCTTCTATAATCTTAATAATTAGCCTCTAACTTAAACATAATTATCATGTAGGCTCCCCATTTTGCCAGTGTACAAACTCTGCATTGTTTTACTATTCAGAAGAGAATGAATATGAGTACGAGTATAGAATTCCCTGTATCTATGTATACAGGAAAACAAATGCTATTCTGTTTGTTCTTCATCTCACTCACTGGTCATTGTGGCTGTTGCTCTGTAGTGGCTGTTGCTCTGTAGTGGCTGTGCTGTGTGTTTGCTAACTATCTGGTGTATCAGGACTATGCAGCAACTTCTACTGGTTTTGGCAATCAGAAGGAAAATAAAAAGGTTTAAAATTGTTTTAAAAGCTAAAAAACCCAGTTCACTTCTGATTTGCATTGCCTCAGTCTTGCAGTAAGTTGGACCAAATGATATGTTACCAGGCAGGGTTAACTATGCCTTAATGTGAATGTTGATGCAAGTGTTGCATTGAGAGGGAGTATGTGACCTTTAAAATGGAAGGGATGCTTTGTGTTATGAGTAGACTAACTATCTGAAGGTTGTTAGAATATGCGGAATAAAAACATTGGTCCCACAAGACACCACTTGACTGAATTAGAAGTGGTAGAACCTTGGCTTTAGATCGCTATACCTTTGACAGTGTAAGCCTAGGTTGTAGAGGTTCTACGGCTTGTTGTCGAAACGGATTAGGCCCTATTTGCAGTTGGGCACAATTGAACTATTATCCAAGAACAAAGTTCATAGTTCAAAATAAAAACTAGACTTTCTAAAAGTCTAAGATAAATCAATGTTTTCTATAAAATCTGGTTCCTCTGGAAACTTAATGAATATTAATTTATTCTAAATTAAGCATTTCCACTTGATGAAGGCCAATACAGGTTGCTGAATAGTCATAATTATTTTGCAAAGCTTGTTATTGACTCAAAATAAAAAGATACAAATTGTAATAATGGTATCTAATGTCATTGAGGTGCAATTGTGATGGATTTCTTAATGTAAATGCATGTCAACTTAGTGTGAACAGAACATGTAATAGCATTAACTTATTGTTAAGGGTTAATTCTATATAGATTAACCTTTTCCTTTTTAATACGTTGATATTTGAGCTTTCTTTTTCTAAGGAATCCTTTGTAAATCTCATTGATCTATTTTGTACAGGACATAACTGTAAACAGTGTAAATACTTCAGCATACTGTAAGCGACAACAATCATTCAGGATAAAAATTGCTCCATATAGGCCTACTACAAGATGAATAACTTTATCATTTATACTGAGTAGAATATAGACATTCTTCTGAATCGACATTTCCATCCACCTATCACTGTTCGTTGGAGTCAATAAAATCATGTCATATATGATTTGTCTCATAATTGCGAATATATTTTACATGCGTAATGAAAGAGCGCCTGAGATCTTCAAGAGCAGTCAGTGTGCATGTGGGTTGCGGTCTAACTATCATATCAGTGTTTATAAGCGTGGTTTATCATAACAAACACATCAGTGAACAGGAAACTGACTGAAACACAGAGGGTAAACCCCTCTGACCACATATGCAACTGTATATAAGGGTCCATACTCTTTCTAGGCCTATAATAAGATCCAAGATTCAGTCAAGTATCTGTTACATAAAATGCATTAGGGGGTGGAGTCCGCTACCACCGACTATATAGCCTGCCACTTCCTCTAGAGTGATGACTCTTTGAGGACTTACTGACTTTGGGAGTAGCAGCAGAAACAGCCACCATGTCTGACGCTGCACCCGCTGAAGCCGCACCTGCTGAGGCTACTCCCCCTGTCGAGGGCGAAGCTCCACCGGCAGAGGCTGCACCTGCCAAGGGAGAGGCACCAGCTCCTGCCGAAGGAGAGGCTCCTGCAGAACCCGCGCCTGAAGAGCCCAAAGCACCCACACCCCCTCCTCCAGATGGTAATGCGATAATGCTCCATGAAATGATTCTCGGTTGGGCTTTTTGCAGAAACACATGTGGGCTACTTTGTCAATATCATTTATCTCCTCTCTGGACTGGATGGATGAGCCATGGCGATGTTTGTTTGGTGCGCAAGGGGCATAAGTGACATTTTCATAAGTTGACAGGAAAACAAAACGTTGATATTGTTTGTTAATGGGTCTTTATACATCAAATATTTCAATGGAGGTCATGGCTCTTATGTCGGTCCCTTTGTCACTGGATCTCTTCAAGGGCCGCCATCTATAAATAGCCTCTCCATTTTTGGTCCAAAATTTTACTTGCGTCCATTGCGCGCCGCCAAACCCTGCGAAGTATTCCTTCACATGTATTTAGAGAAAGTATATTTTTCCGAGGAAGCTGCAGCTCCAGCCGTCGCTGACGCTGAGGCACCTGTCGAGGGTAAAGCCAAGATTAAGAGATGTTTGTCTTGATTAGGCTACTTAACCGTTTTACTGTAACATCTTTATCGCTTTACTCACAAACCGGTACTTTTTATCCACATACTTTAAGCTTGTCATTTTGTAACATCTTCTCTTTTCATTTTGTAACATTTAGTAAGATATTTTGAAACGTTTAAAATCAGCTTTTGTTCTAACATCACTCTAACATTGAATTAATATCAGCCTCCACCTCCCCTGCTGCTGAGGGCGGAGCTCCCGCTGCTGATGCTGCTGCTGAGGGCGGAGCTCCCGCTGATGGTAATCGGCTCACTACCAATCCACAGGGCGCCAGGTGACATCTTCGTCATCGTATGCCGCTCAATATGGATATACCTATTTAGAATGATCACAAATCACTTTTGGCTAACAACACTAAGCGCTTTATTCAATCCGCATCTCGGAAGTTCAGCTTTACACCGTGATTGAAATTTAAAGGCAATGTTCCCGATTTAGCTGCGTATGTCGGCTCAATCGGAAATGACCTTTAAAAAGATATCACGGAATCTGTAATGCTTCAGCGTTACAGTTTGAATAGAGCCCTAACTTAATAGCGCTAAAATATCTCAATGATATTTGAGCATTTTTCCCATCATGGTAGGCCCTTATTAGCCTGGTCCCAGATATGTTTGTATTGTCTTTCTGGCAAAATGCTATGGTCATTATTATAGGAGTTGACATTAAAGACAGCACAAGCAGATTTGGGGCCAGGCTCTGCCCTTATGTCATTTTAACTAGTACATTAGCTGATGCTGCTGCTGCCGACAGGTAGACCCTGTTCATGTGAAATGGATCAATTATACCTTCACATCTGAATATGTCCAATTTCAATCCACTCCAATATGGGATCATGTTAAGGTACACTACCGGTCAAAAGTTTTAGAACACCTACTCATTCAAGGGTTTTTCTTTATTTTTTACAATTTTCTACATTGTAGGATAATAGTGAAGACATCAAAACGATGTAATAACATATATGGAATCATGTAGTAACCAAACAAATGTTAAACAAATCAAAATATATTTTATATTTGAGATTCTTCAAATAGCCACCCTTTGCCATGATGACAGCTTTGCACACTCTTGGTATTCTCTCAACCAGCTTCATGAGGTAGTCACCTGGAATGCATTTCAATTAACAGTTGTGCCTTCTTAAAGCATGGAGGAGGAGGTGTTGTGGTGTGGGAGTGCTTTGCTGGTGACACTGTCTGTGATTTATTTAGAATTCAAGCCACACTTAACCAGCATGGCTACCACAGCATTCTGCAGCGATATGCCATCCCATCTGGTTGGGCTTAGTGGGACTATCTTTTGATTTTCAACACCTCCAGGCTGTGTAAGGGCTATTTTACCAAGAAGGAGAGTAATGAAGTGCTGCATCAGATGACCTGGCCTCCACAATCCCCCGACCTCAACCAAATTGAGATGGTTTGGGACAAGTCGGACCGCAGAGTGAAGGAAAAGCAGCCAACAAGTGCTCAGTATATGTGGGAACCAGGTGAAGCTGGTTGATTGAATGCCAAGAGTGTGCAAAGCTGTCATCAAGGCAAATATAAAATATATTTTGATTGGTTTAACACTTTTTTGGTTACTATATGATTCCATACGTGTTATTTCATAGTTTTGATGTCTTCACTATTATTTTACATTGTAAAAAATTGTAAAAATAAAGAAAGACCCTTGAATGAGTAGGTGTTCTAAAACTTTTGACCGGTAGTGTATATGTAGTTTGGTATACATATAGCGTGTGCTAAAGTTTTTCCTGACCTCGTGACCTTACTAGGGAACACTCCCGGCCCTAGTTAAAGATTACAGCGCACCAGGGAACACTCCGGGCCTTACTTAAAGACTACAGTGTACCGGGAAACACTCCGGGCCTTACTTAAAGACTACAGTGTACAAGGGAACACTCCAGGCCCTAGTTAAAGACTACAGTGTACCAGGAAACACTCCAGGCCCTACTTAAAGACTACAGCGCACCAGGGAACACTCTGGGCCTTACTTAAAGACTACAGTGTACCAGGAAACACTCTGGGCCCTCGTTAAAGACTACAGTGTACTAGGGAACACTCGTGGCCCTAGTTAAAGACTACAGTGTACCATAGCACATTGGATATGTGTAGACTGTTTTCATCTCTCTACTGGTAATCCAAGAGATGTTCAGTGAGAGATGGGATTGGAATGGATTGGATGGAAGTGATTCTAGAGCACTGCTCTCATACCTGCTGCTTCTAACCTTTAAATAAATGCACATTTAACATCAGCTGCTGCTGCCGACGCGGCCCCCGCAGAGGAACCCCCCAAAGCACCTATCCCCCCTCCACCCCTACCCCCCAAAAGTAAACCAATCCGATGGTCTCAGGAAAGATTAGTCAAACCGTTACGGAGCTCTTCACACATTCTCCTATTACCATTTTTATCATTCATATGATAACCCAATATCATGTCCTCAAGTTGTACGTTGTCTGAATTGTGTTTGCGTTTTCCAAACTGTAGAGCCCTATTGCCATGTTTCCATTGACATGATAATCCAATAAGGCTAATTATTTCCTCTTGCGTCTCGAGTTGTACATTGTCTGAATTGTGTTTACGTTTCCAAACTGTAGAGGCCACCAGCGAGCCCCTGGAAGTAATAGTGGAGGATAAGAGTGACACTTCAGTGACCATTACCTGGAGGCCTCCAAAGACCATTCCACCCAACTCTGGCCTGGATGGATACACTGTGGAAATCACTAAGGAGGGAAGTAAGTCCTTCAAACCCACTTCAGCCCTTAACTAGCCTGGTCCCAGATCTGTTTGTGCAGTCTTGCCAACTCCCACGGTCATGGGCATGACCAATTTGGGACCAGGCTACCCTTTTAACGACTAAGTTCTTGAATGTTGTTATGTTGTCCCATTGGATTTTGTACATCTCTGATGTAGAGAATTATCTAAGGTAAAATTGAGAATTAACCACAACCTTATGAAAATGTTTATTGATTGTTTTACCTAACATCCTACAATGAGGCTCCGGTCCACTTTAAGACGGTACAATTGTAAATGATATTTTATTGGCTGGTCAGACCTATCAGTTGCACCTCTTCCCTGCATGTCACTAGTTGATTTATACCGTACCTAACCTCTCCCTATAAGGAGAGAGGCATTTCTGGTGGTGCCGTGAACTTGCTGGTGCCTGCTTTTAGATCACAACCGTATGCTAATGTCAGTAACAGACTCAACTCAAATGGCAGAGAAGAGAAGATACCTCAAGTTATACAACTTCACGGTTGACCTTGCAAATGTAGTAATGCACCCTGAAAACACAACATATTATATTTTTATTAATTAATCTCCTTCATTCGTCCATTTAAAAATATTGTTTTGACACAACATAATATATTTTTATTAATGAATCTCGTTGATTAGTCCATTTAAAAATATTGTTTTGGGCCCAGATAGGAAAATAAGTACTACATGTATAAATGCATGATACAATAAAATGACAGGATTCATAAACTGAGCTGTTAACTCATGCTTATTGTCCTCACGGTGTTCATTCTACTGCCACAGTTCTATATTGTCCTCATCGTGTTAACTGTTCTGTCACTGTTCTATGTTGTCCTCATCGTGTTAACTGTTCTGTCACTGTTCTATGTTGTCCTCATCGTGTTAACTGTTCTGTCACTGTTCTATGTTGTCCTCATCGTGTTAACTGTTCTGTCACTGTTCTATATTGTCCTCATCGTGTTAACTGTTCTGTTACTGTTCTATGTCGTCCTCATCGTGTTAACTGTTCTGTCACTGTTCTATGTTGTCCTCATCGTGTTAACTGTTCTGTCACTGTTCTATGTTGTCCTCATCGTGTTAACTGTTCTGTCACTGTTCTATATTGTCCTCATCGTGTTAACTGTTCTGTTACTGTTCTATGTCGTCCTCATCGTGTTAACTGTTCTGTCACTGTTCTATATTGTCATCACTGTGTTCTCTTTCCTGTCACAGCTGAAGACTGGAAAGCAGTCAACGAGGATCTGACCATGTCCTGTCGTTATGTAATCAAGAACCAGACTACCGGCGACCATCTGCTGATCCGGGTGGTGGCTGTGAACTCTGGTGGCCGCAGCCCCCCTGCTACTATCGCCGATCCTGTTCTGGTCAAGGAAGTTGGGGGTAAGCAAAGCATGGACAATACAGTGCATTCGGAAAGTATTCAGACCCCTTGACTTCTTCCACATTTTGTTACGTTACAGCCTGGTTCTAAAATTTATTAAATTGTTTTTTTTTCTTCATCAATCTACACACAATACCCCATAATGACAAAGCAAAAACAGTTTTTTAGAAATGTTTGCAACTTTATAAAAAATACAAAACTGAAATATCACATTTACATAAGTATTCAGACCCTTTACTCAGTACTTTGTTGAAGCACCTTTGGCACCTTTGGCAGCGATTACAGCCTTGAGTCTTCTTGGGTATAACGCTACAAGCTTGGCACACCTGTATTTGGGGAGTTTCTCCCATTCTTCTCAGCACATCCTCTCAAGCTCTGTCACATTGTTTGGGGAGCGTCGATGCACAGCTATTTTCAGGTCTCTCCAGAGATGTTCGATCGGGTTCAAATCTGGGCTCTGGCTGGGCCACTCAAGGACATTCAGAGACTTGTCCCAAAGCCACTCCTGCGTTGTCTTGGCTTAGGGTCGTTGTCCTGTTGTCCCGCCCCAGTCTGAGGTCCTGAGTGCTCTGGAGCAAGTTTTTTTCAAAGATCTCTCTGTACTTTGTTCCGTTCATCTTTCCATCGATTCTGACTAGTCTACCAGTCCCTGCCGCTGAAAAACATCCCCACAGCTTGATGCTGCCACCACCACGCTTCACAGTAGGGATGGTGCCAGGTTTCCTCCAGACGTGACGCCAAAGAGTTCAATCTTGATTTCATCAGACCAGAGAATCTTGTTTCTCATGATCTTAGAGTCCTTTAAGTGCCTTTTGGAAAACTCCAAGTGGGCTGTCATGTGCCTTTTACTGAGGAGTGGCTTAAGTGTTCCACTCTACCATAAAGACCTGATTTGTGGAGTGCTGCAGAGATGGTTGTCCTTCTGGAAGGTTCTCCCATCTCCACAGAGGAACTCTGGAGCTCTGTCAGAGTGACCATTGGGTTCTTGGTCACCTCCCTGACCAAGACCCTTCTCCCCCGATTGCTCAGTTTGGCCGGGGGGCCAGCTCTAGAGTCTTGGTGGTTCTAAACTTATTCCATTTAAGAATGATGGAGGTCACTGTGTTCTTGGGGAACTTCAATGCTGCAGACATTTTTTTATACCCTTCCCCAGATCTGTGCCTCGACACAATCCTGTCCCGGAGCTCTACGGACAATTCCTTCGACCTCATGGCTTGGTTTTTGCTCTGACATGCACTGTCAACTGTGGGACCTTATATAGACAGGTGTGTGCCTTTCCAAATCATGTCCAATCAATTGAATTGATTTACAACAGGTGGACTCCAATCAAGTTGTAGAAACATCTCAAGGATGATCAATGGAAACAGGATGCACCTGAGCTCAATTTGAGTCTCATAGCAAAGGGTCTGAATACTTACGTGAATAAGGTATTTCGTTTTTTTATTATTAATACATTTGCAAAAAATTATAGAAACCTGTTTTCGCTTTGCCATTATGGGGTATTATGTGTAGATTGTTGACAAAAAATCAATATTTAATCAATTTTAGAATAAGGCTGTAACGTAACAAAATGCGGAAAAAGGGAAGGGGTCTGAATACTTTCCGAATGCACTGTATGTTACCCACCACCTGGATTCGGTCCTGTGTCGCAACATTTGAAACTGTGTTTTTTACATTGGATAAAAGTAGAGTAAATGGTATATAGACACTGCAGTTGAGGAACAATGGGAAAGTAATTCTGCTTTGAATGTTGATAAACTTGTAACCCCACTTTTGAGAAAATGCTCCTTGAATTTTTTGGTACACCTACTGGAGAGCTCTTCTTTGTCTACACCCATCCAGCATCGTTCAGACCCTCTTAAGCTTTAGCCCCACCCATCTCTTTAAGGATTCACATGAGGCCATGTGTTAAACAGAGTGAGTAGTGTAGTAAACAACCAATGATTTCAAGACTAAAAGTGGTAAAAGTAGCAGCCTACAATAAGGAAAACTCCAGGTAAAAATACACTTTATTTAGTCCTTGGCCTATGTCCTAATCTGACTTTAGTGCAGGTCATGTTGTTCTTCACATTATCGTCTCTGGTAAACACACACTATATCAAATTAAATGTATATTTATTTGTCACATGCACAGGATACAGAGTGTGTAAACTGTACAGTGAAATGGTTACTTGAATACTTGCATAGTAGCAATATCAAAAACAGAAAGTGTCCAGATATAAATATTTTAGAATTATTAGATGACACTTACCCAGTCACACTTGTCTAAATTGATCGGTCATGTGAAATAAATGCTATAACCACCCCACAGCCACACCTAGATAAGTGAATGGGTTCTGATTACTACACAGATCATACACGTAACGTTAGCTAACGAGCCAGCAAGCTAACATTCGCTTGCTAGCTAACAGTATGCTTTAACTTGCAATGAAAACAACTTTCTGACAAAATTTGAAACGTATAATATCTGAAAATGTAGCTAGACTCTTACCCGTATACATACATGAACGCTTCACGGCAGACTGGAACCATTTAACTCCATTCTTGTTTGGCCAGCGTTGTGTCAAGTCACTCTGGTTCAAACTGACCGTGGCGTGTGCAGAGAAAGTAGCCCATCACAACTTTTTCCAACTCATCTGACGATAGCACCTGCTGAATTCAGGGCATCAATGTTGTTGAGAAAAGTAGTACAACTTTTGTAGTTCTCGATGGCTAATGTTATATATTTCCAAAAACCGTGGTAGATAGGATTATCAACACATACTGAGCAGCTCACATTATAGACAGAAGCGAGCTACATGGCAGACCAATCCAAACTCATCTCCTGGCATGTCCAGCCCATCCATTTTCTCAGCCAATCATGGCTAGCAGGAAGGTTCCTGTCTTTTTCCGTGGCTAAACCAACTAGGCTCGTAATTAACCATTTTATTTGTATTTACAGATGGAATACAAGTTTTTTATTAAGGCACATGAAAGTTGACATCTTCCAGAAGGCATTTCTGCCAAAAAAAAACGCATAAAGAATAACGAAATAAAAATACTTTCAAATGCCTCTCCTGTGAAGTAGTGACGTGCGACATATGCCTAGCTTCCTGAAACTGGTCACATATGTACTCTCTCTCACACACACACACACACACACACACACACACACACACACACACACACACACACACACACACACACACACACACACACACACACACACACAGCCCTTAGCTACTGTACTTCAGAAGCACACCATGGTCCATTACTGCCAACCAGAAGATGTGGGGGTTTTCTTCCATGAACTTCAAGTGGACAGTATTGTATTAACGGGTGGCCATCGCAGCAAGTCCAAACTGTTTGTGGTGGGCGTCTTTATTGTTGTAAAAGCTTTTCAAAAGAGCAGACGTTGAAACAGCTAGGGAGAAACAGCTCAGCATATTTTCCATCTCAGATATCCAAATTCTGTTGGCTTGGCACATCCCTGGCCTGTTAGAGTAATGCAACTGTCGTCTTCTCAGATTATTGCCACCAAGAGGGTGGTAGAGCTCCTCAGTCCAAGCATGGAGCTAGCTCCCCAGTTGTTAAGTGCCTAAAGCACTCCCTTTGATACTGTGGGGTATTTTTTCAGTAGACCATACAGAGCTATGGTACCGAGTGGTACCCAAGGTCAGACCATAGGTTAAAAATAGTAAATCTTTCTAGACTATAAATATTAAAATATAGCTAATTATAAAGACAAGCAGTGGTACAGAGGATGAGGCAATAAGACTAGGTGAGTGTGGTACCGAGTGGTACACAAGGAGGGAGTCTGAGCCAGAGTCAGGAGATGGCTCTTGATTGAGTATACTGTTATGTATGAGGCAATGCATTAGGAAAGTCTTAAATGTATATGGTTGAGAATGGATTATGGATCTGCTATGTTTAAACCATATTCAAGTATCGATTGATGGGTTCTGTTATTTTTTACATGAGAAAGTTTGGTTTGGCCACCATTGTATCCAAACTAAATAAATATAGGAGGAGAAGTCAGATTTCACCACTATCATAAATTAAGAGAGTGGGCGGAGCGGTCAAAAGATGAACGTTTGGAAACAATGGTGGAGAAACTGAACTGGGAGGGTTTAAGCTAAAAAGTATGTAAAACTAGCAGGAATGGACATTGTATATAAACTGAGGGCCGAGTGTTGTGAGTTAGTTGCTCTGCAGACCAGCTCGGCTTTTGTTGCTCTATGTAATAAAGTCTATCTAGATTCTACAAAAACTCTGGAAGAACTTTGATTTTTAATAGGTATAGTGATCATTTTCCACAACAATACCTTTTGGTTGCATGTTTTCACCAGTGTCTTCTTACTGTGCATTCAGGAGAAGTAATTTTTAGTCTTCCTCAATGATAACTGTTAATGGTTAGTCAAGCATCTTAATTTACCAACAAGCTCTCATAGTCTCACTGCAGAATTAAACATTTTTGCACTTTTCTCCAAACGTCAAATTGCAAAGTTGCTCCAAATGTCAAATTTCTAAGTGTTTTTGACATGCTGGGTTGCTTCTCTTGCTCCACATCGTTCCATTTCTCCAAACGTCAAATTTCGAAGTTGCTCCAAATTTCAAAGTTAAGGGTTAAGGGTAAGGTTTAAGGTTTGGCATAGGGTAAAAAATCCCTATGCCAAACACTGGGATTGAACCCTCGACCTTCGAATCCAGAGTCATAGGATTACACTCATCCCCCACCCCTCATCCACAATGCCCAAGCCTACTTGATTGTAATAGCGCTCACTGTTGCCCCTAGTGGCTGGTGGTGAAGGCATTTCCCTTCAACCTCAGGACATGGACAGACGTCCAATTTCGAAGTCAATCTTGAAGCGATCTGGCTGAATTTACAGCAATCATCATGGAATCAAGTTAATTTACTGTATACAGTGGTAGGCCCTGGATTTTGTGTTTTATTCAGAGTCAAAAATTCAGAACATACAGTAAAATAGAAATCTAAAAGAATTGGTAGACCTACAAAAAAAAAGAAGATCGATTAAAAAGTAAGTTATGTAATCAGGGATGTAAAGAGAGAGATCATCAAATGTGTAATGGAGAGTTTTAGTGGAGGGGAATGAAACCTGAACCCCAAGGACTTATACGAGGGACTGGCTGTCCCGCAATAGGAGTGTCCAAGTCCCACAGTCCCACTGTCAAACTTAACCGTTGGTCCACCAATAGAGGCATCTGGTTACCCACACAATGGAAAGACTTCTAACTTTCCCACAAATCATTTGAAAAATGGTTGGGATGTGTCTGCTATTAACACAGAACACAGATTCAATTCGGAAGGTTTGGCATAGAGTTGACTCCCTAGTCAGAATGCGTGCTGGAGAGGTGTCAAGCCAGCGATGGTGTGATGGTGACAAGTATAATCGTACAGGGCGGGGTTGGGGGTTGGGGACATTCCAAAGTGTCCACTCTACACAGAGGGGGTGGGGACAGGGGAGGGATCTAATGTCTCGTATGCCATCTAAGTCCTTTGAGATGACCAGGGACCCAGTGTTTATTTTTAAATATGCCACAGACTCTGACAGGGACAGGGCAGTTCTCTTTTGACCTGATCCCCCATAAGGAGTGTCAAGTCGGGACGCTCCACAGAGAAACACACCTAACTCTACCATGACCATTCCCCAGTGGGTTGGTTGTTTTTTTTCATCCATTTTCTAATAGCAGCACATATTTCTGCCTATAGCACTGGACATCCAATGGCACTAGTGCATAGATTTGTATAGGAGCGGGTTCGCAATTATAGTTTCTATGTTCTGTTATTGGTTAGTTACAAATACAACAGTTCTGTCCATGTTTTAACACATGCAGCAAGCCATTTGCTGTGATTGATGTGTTTGTGGGGAACCCTATGGTCTAGGTAGAATCTACAATACAGTATCAAGCAGAGTATGATTCTTAATGCAGCCTGTTCAACCGTGTGGGCTGGGGTAACTGTAGAGTATGATTCTTAATGCAGCCTGTTTAACAGTGTGTGCTGGGGTAACTGACCTATTTAGAGTTCTGATGCGATGGTGTGATTTCAAATAGGACATATTTAGAGCTCTGATGAGATGGTGTGAGTTTAGATAAGACCTATTTAGAGCTCTGATGAGATGGTGTGTTTAGATAATACCTATTTAGAGCTCTGATGAGATGGTGTGAGTTCAGATAAGACCTATTTAGAGCTCTGATGAGATGGTGTGTTTAGATAATACCTATTTAGAGCTCTGATGAGATGGTGTGAGTTCAGACAGGACCTATTTAGAGCTCTGATGAGTATAACTCTACTAGACTCAGCAGGTGGTTGGTTCCCACCCAACTAGATCTGGTCTGGAAGACTGGAGTACAGGATAATCTGTCTCCAATGTACATAAAGTGGGTTTTGAGGATTTTGTTTTTTATTAATATCTGATAAACATTCAATTGCTTGCTCTGAAGTGTCTCTGAAGTATCTCTGAAGTGTCACTGAAGTGTCTCTGAAGTGTCTCTGTAGTGTCCTATCCATAAAGTGTGTCAGTTTCAGTCATTTTACTTATTTGAACAGGTTGATTATTATTGTTATTCGTAACCTATTTTTGTTCCGTCTGTAGCTCGCCCCAAAGTCCGCCTGCCTCGTTTCCTGAGGCAGAGGTATGTCAAGAAAGTCGGTGAGAAGATCAACCTTGTCATCCCCTACTCTGTGAGTTTGCATTATGAGATGATGAGTGGGGAGTTTGTCTAGACGACATGACCTGAGCAGGATTAAAAACATTGGACCCTAGCTATAGTCACATTTACTATTTAATACAACTAGGGGCTAGAGTTTTATCACATTGTCAGGAAAGACTCCTGGCCATGATGATGTAAAATAATTTGATGTTATAGCATGTGTCCATGCAGATGGAAGTTAGACCATTGATTGAGCCCGGCCTTGTGTTCTTTACTGTCCTAGGGCAAACCTAAGCCGGTGGTTAGCTGGTTAAAGGATGGAGGGCCCCTTGACCCAAAGAGGGCCAACGTCCGTACATCTGACACAGACAGCATCCTGTTCATCCGTCAAGCAGAGAGAGCGGACTCTGGCTCATACGAGATGTGCGTGAAGGTGGACGACTTTGAAGACAAAGCTGCTATCATCATCCAGATTATTGGTAAGTCAAATTGTATTAGACTATCCAACCTTGTTTTCATTTCCAAACAGATCATGATGTAGCATTAGCCTCTGACTGTCATGGTATATTTTTTATCATAACTAGGGCCAGGGGTTGTTCCTGGTCAGGTCATGTGATCAGGAAGAAGTCCTGGACCTAGTCCTAACTGATCTGGAGAGTGATTGAGTTGTTGTGAGTTGACTGATACAAATGATGCAACCTTTTACCTCTGTGCCTGCTCTCCCACAGAGCTGCCTGGGCCACCAGCCAGCGTTAAGGTTGCGGATGTCTGGGGATTCAACGTTGCTCTTGAGTGGACCGCACCTAAAGATAATGGAAACACAGAGATCACAGGCTACACCGTCCAGAAGGCTGACAAGAAAACCGGGGTGAGAAACCCGCCGCTTACATTACAATGTCAAAGTCAATGACAGCTTCTGTAGCCAACTCGTTTACACAATTCCCATTGATGCAGTAGCAAATATTTTCCCTGTAATCAAATCTAATCCAAACTAACTTTATTTAAAGGTACATCTCAGTACACTTTACACAAAAAAATAGACCCCAAAAGAAAATACAGTTCCTGTAATAAAATATAATTAATGCTAATATGGTATCTTGCCCAGGACTGGTTCAACATCCTGGAGCACTACACCAGACTAAACGCCACAATCTCAGACCTCATCATGGGCAACACCTACACCTTCAGGGTCTTTGCAGAGAACAAGTGTGGACTCAGTGAGGAATGTGCCGTGACCAAGGAAGAAGCCACCATTGTGAAGGAGGGTGAGACATTCTCCACACCACGCCTTTCTAAAAACATCCCCCTGCAACGTTAGAATGTTGGAGACGGTTAGAACGAGTGGGACAGAAAAGTCTCCTTGTAGCTAGTTGCTCCTATTTAAGACCTAATCCATGCTTGTGTCTCATTATTTTTCAGTTATTGACTACAAACCTACCCCGTTCGTGGAGCGTGACTTCACAGAGGCTCCCAAGTTCACCACTGTTCTGAATGACAGGTCCACCACTGTTGGCTACAGCACCAAGCTGCTGTGCTCTGTGAGGGGATCCCCTAAGGTAAACCTTCCCTCTCACAAACTCTCATACCAGCCCAGTACTGGAGGTTCTTCATGGAAAGGAAACCTGTGGGCTAGTCTAGCAGAACTGTCATGATTCTAAAAGACCCACTCATTGTTTGTTGGGTGAGATTTTAGTGCCGATGGCTCCACATGCCAGGCCCATGAACACAGACAGCTGCCAGTTGCGCCTTCACTTCACCTACACACTGAAGAAGGCTGTAAAGCCGAAACGTCCATGTACGCTATCTCTGATGCAGTGAAAATACTTAAAAACATCTAATAATGAAGTAAGCTTTTTTTTTTGTGCGGATCCATTACATATTTTTGTGTGCCTTCACTTTTTCCCTGGAAAATATTATTGGATGGGGATACACATATATGTATCACACACACGCACAGACACAAACAGACACACACACGCGCACACACACACGCATACCCCTGTCCATCCGTCCCTGTCAATATATTTACTTGTAGCAGAGTTGGAATGAGAGGGATCTTTAGTATCCTTGTCAGCCTGCTGTCTGAACCTCCAGCTTCCAGCCTGTCCCCTCCCCTCCCAGCAGATACACTGGGTTGCCAGTTGTCACAGCAGAGCAGCATTTGGCATAGGGGGGTTGGGAATGCAGCTCCGTACAGGGTTAGGTTCTGATAGTCTCTGAGCGGAGCCCTGGACCTCTGGACCCCTGGCCAGCTGGGTGTGTGGGTGACAGAGAGGAGGGGGTTGAGGGGTCACATGTGTGACATTCCTGCCCTGAGGGGACCATGGGGGTCATTTACACTGAGCCACATGGTGCCCCTGTCACTGGACCCCCTGGCTCATGCACCCCAGAGAGAGTGTGTGTCTTCCGAATAGCTGTTACCATCAAAGAAAAGGGCTTAGAAACCAACATAGCTAGCCCTACATGAGTGTGTGGTCCTGTGTGGCTCAGTTGGTAGACCATGGTGCTTGTAACACTAGGGTTGTGGGTTTGATTCCCATGGGGATCAGTATGAAAAATAACTCAAATGTATGCACTCACTACTGTAAGTCACTCTGGATAAGAGCGGCTGCTAAAATGTGATGTTCCTTTATTGGGGGATTTGATTGATTGTTCATAGAGGTATGTTCCCTTTGCGATGCGTGGATCAGATTTGAGTAAGGTGCATGGTAAAACATACTCCAAGTACACGAAAGCTCAAGTAAACAATTGTGACTTTAACCACGTTTCCATCCACAGTTTTTATGAGTAAAGTCATACCGTATAAAAAAAAATCAATTTTATAAATGCTGACACTGTCACGATCGTCATAATAAGCGGACCAAGGCGCAGCGTGATAAGCGTACATTCTTTTATTTAGTACACACACGAACAAAACAATAAACGATACGTGAAGTCCTAGGGTTAAACCCAAACCTTACGGAACAAGATCCCACAAACAACAGTGCCAAACAAGCTGCCTAAGTATGGTCCCCAATCAGAGACAACGAGCCACAGCTGTCTCTGATTGGGAACCACCCTGGCCAACATAGAAATAAACGATCTAGAAAGAAACACATAGAAAACACAACATAGACACTACACACCCTGGCTCAACATTTAAGAGTCCCCAGAGCCAGGGCGTGACAGACACATAATTTGCTCGTTTGACATGGTGGGATCTTTTTGTGTCTGTAAAATTAATTATGCGAGAAATGGCAGTGGAAATGACTTTATGCACAGATATTGATATAATAACCATCATATCAAAGTAAACTTGGAGTCACGCGATGACATGTTGTGTGGTCCTCCCACTATGATTCAGGAAAGCATGCAGTTTAGTAGGCTACAGATTATATAATAAGTTATGATGAACTTCACAGAGTGGTGAATGTGCAAGGAGCTTGATGCTCCTTTCCAATAAATATCGAGGGTCTTATTCTGGTGACATGATGATCGATGCTTGACTGCCGTTTGACAAATACAAATATTCTCGGTCTTATCCATAATAATGTCATCATGTAGACTATCCTAGCTGCACAGCCTACCTACACTGTATCTGCCAGCTGTTGGCTAGAGCGAATATGCCAAGACCAGAGTAAGCACATTTGCTATTTAATGCAACAGTTTGTGACAAAACTATCGGTAGAGTTGAAAATGGGATGGAAATACATTGAACTTTAGATTTTTATTCGGTACATGAAAACTGAAGCAAAAAAGTACATTTTGTGTGCACTACGTCATCACGCACTGAGTCCGTTTGGTCCGTTTGGTGGAAACACACCACTGGTGGGAAAATGCGCATATTTCTTTGGCGGATTTTAGAACATTTGCGTGATTGGATGGAAACCTAGCTGCTGACAATAAAACTTGAAACTTCAAACAATTGATCTGAAACGTAGAAATCACTTATTATGTCATTGCAGCCTAAGATTATGTGGATGAAGAACAAGATGATCCTCAACAACATGGATAACCCCAAGTACAGGATGATCAGCACAGGGGGCATCTGCACCCTGGAGATCCGTAAGCCCGGCCAATACGACGGTGGAGAGTATGTCTGCAGAGCTGAGAACGAACTGGGGAAGGTCGACACTGGCTGCAAGCTGGAGGTCAAAAGTAAGTAGTAGTTGTGGTAAAAACATTTTTGCAATTACAGTCTTTTCCTACCAGTACTGACTTTGCTGATAACTTCTGTACTATTGAGACAAATGTACTCCAGGGTCTAACATTAACACCCGCCACCGACCAAATGCGGGTAGATTTTGGTATTGGCGGGTAGAATGTTTATTTCAGCAGCCACGTTGGCTGGTGGTCACACAGAGCAAAATTAAGAATATTAAAGAATTGGTATAAGTTTCTCATAAGACATGAACAGAATACATCAATGATTCTCATTTCCTGCAGTTTTCTGAGGAAGCAACAACATGCGAATGTCTGTAAATCAAATCAGTGTTTATTTAGGTGCAGCGAAATACTTGTGTTACTAACTCCTACAGTGCAGTAAAATGTCTCACAAATACACAATATTGAAAAAAATCTAAAGAAGAAATTAAGAAATAACAATCCAAGTAGGTGTATTACAGTGAGACTATACGTACGTGGTGTGTGGAGACTGAATATAATCTGGAAAATGAAATGGAACAGTATGTACAGTAGAAAAGGTATAACAGGATGATATATGTGGATAATATAGTATATACATACACAGTGAGTAAACAACAGTATATAAACAGAATATGAGGTGACCAGCGTTCAATGACTATCTATATACATGGGGCATACTGTAAGTCTCAAGATGCAGGGCTGAGTACTGGGCAGTTAGCCAGCTAGTGATGACTGTTCAACAGTCTGATGTCCTGGTGATAGAAGCTGTTCAACAGTCTGATGGCCTGGTTATAGAAGCAGTTTCTCAGTCTGATGACCTGGTGATAGAAGCTGTTCAACAGTCTGATGGCCTGGTGATAGAAACTGTTCAACAGTCTGATGGCCTGCTGATAGAAGCTGTTTCTCAGTCTGATGGCCTGCTGATAGAAGCTGTTCAACAGTCTGATGGCCTGGTGATAGAAGCTGTTTCTCAGTCTGATGGCCTGGTGATAGAAACTGTTCAACAATCTGATGACCTGCTGATAGAAGCTGTACTGTCTCAGTCTGCTGGATGGTAGCAGAGTGAACAGACTGTGGCTCGGGTGGCTGAGGTCCTTAATGATCTTCTTGGCCTTCCTTTGACATCAAGTGCTGTAAATGTCCTGGAGGGCAGGCAGCGTAACCCCAGCGATGAGTTGAGCTGACCACACTACTCTCCCGAGCGCCATGCCGTTGAGGGGGGTGCAGTTGCTGTACCAGGCAGTGATGCAACCCAATAGAATGCTCTTTTACATTTTAGTCATTTAGCAGATGCTCTTATCCAGAGCGACTTACAGTTAGTGAGTGCATACATTTTCATACTGGCCCCCCGTGGAAAACAAACCCACAACCCTGGCGTTGCAAGCGCCATGCTCTACCAACTGAGCTACAGGGGACTACATGGTGCATCTGTAGTAGTTTGTGAGGGTCTTAGCGGAAAGTCAAATTTCTTCAGCCACCTGAGGTTGAAGAGGCGCTGTTGTGCCTTCTTCCTCTTTAATGTGTGCCCAAGGAATTTGAAGTTTTTGACCCTCTCCATCACAGCCCCTGTTGATAGAGGCGTGCTCCCTCTTCTGTCTCCTGTTGTCAACGATCAGCCCCTTTGTTTTTTTTACGTTGAGGGAAAGGTTATTTTCCTGGCATCACTCCGTCAGGGCTCTAACCTCCTCCCTGTAGGCTGTCTCGTCATTGTTGGTAATCAGGCCTACCACTGTCGTGTTGTCAGCAAACTTGATGATTGAGTTGGGTGAACAGGGAGTACAGGAGGGAGCTGAGCATGCACCCTTGTGGGGCCCCCATGTTGAGGATCAGCATGGCGGAGGTGTTGTTGCCTACCCTCACCACCTGGGTTCGGCATGTCAGGACGTCCAGGATCCAGTTGCACAGGGAGGAGTTCAGACCCAGGGACCTGAGCTTAGTGACGAGTGATGTACTATGGTGTTGAAAGCAAAGCTGTAGTCGATGATCAGCATTCTTACATAGGTATTCCTCTTGTCCAGGTGGGATAGGGCGGTGTGCAGTGCAACGACAATTGCATCGTCCGTAGATCTGTTGGGGCGGTATGCAAATTTTAGTGGGTCTAGGGTGTCGGGCAAGGTGGAGGTGATATGGTCCTTGAGTAGCCTCTCAAAGCACTTCATGATGACAGAAGTGAGTGTACGGGGTGATAGTCATTGAGTTCAGTTACATTTGTTTTCTTCGGTACAGGAACAATAGTGGACATCTTGAAGCACGTGGGGACAACAGACTGGGATAGGGAGAGATTGAATATGTCCATAAACACTCCAGCAAGCTGGTCTGCGTCTGCACTAAGGATGCTGCTTGGGATGCCATCCGGGCCAGAAGCCTTGCAAGGGTTAACATGCTTGAAAGTTCTATTCATGTCAGCTACAGAGATCGGGAGCCTGCAGTCCTTGTGAGCAGCGGGGCCCCCGACATAGGCTCTGTGTTGTTTTCCTGGAAGCAGGCGAAGAAGGTGTTAAGCTTATCTTGGAGTGAGGCGTCGGTGTCCGTGACGTGGCTGGTTTTCCCTTTATAATCCAGAGATTTTTTTTTACATGCTTTCATTACTTAAAAGACTCAGGTCACAAAACAGTTAATGAAACTGAGCAATATACCACATTTCTTCTTACTAGTGATACATTTGCTGTTTTAGAAACATTACAAAGCATGCTGATCCGTTTATTTATTTTGTGTGTGTGTGTTTGTAATTATGGCAAGAACAAAATATTTTGGCCGGTAAAATATCTGAGTGGCTGATAGATTTTTTTATCTACCTGCCACAGTGGACCAAAAAGTTAATTTGTTGTATTTGAATCAGGCTGTGTGTAAATATTGCCATTGGTTCATGATCACTAAAATAATGATATTTACCTCAACAGAGCCTGTTTATGCAGATGCTGACAAAGATAAGGAGGCAGAGTAAATGCACATGCATACAGGTCAGTAACTCTTGTTGACATATTTTAAGGTTTCATGTGGAAAATGGGCTTCAATTTACAAAATTGGTCTGAATTCAGAAGTTGAGTGTGAATCAACAAATTATGGCCACTTTGTTACGAACTACACTTCTTTAAAATACCTACCTATAACATTTACATTTTAGTCATTTAGCAGACACTCTTATCCAGAGCGACTTACAGTTAGTGAATACATATTATTTTTTTATACTGGCCCCCCGTTGGGAATCAAACCCACAACCCTGGCGTTGCAAACACCATGCTCTATCAACTGAGCTACATCCCTGCCGGCCATTCCCTCCCCTACCCTGGACGACGCTGGGCCAATTGTGCGCCGCCCATGAGTCTCCCGGTCGCGGCCGGCTGCGACAGAGCCTGGATTCGAACCAGGATCTCTAGTGGCACAGTTAGCACTGCGATGCAGTGCCTTAGACCACTGCGCCACTCAGGAGTCGAAAGTCTTCACTTTTAAAAAATAAAATCCATGTTGGCATTTAATTTGCTTTGACTTTGGTCTTATTGGAGAGAACGTTTATATTTAACCATCATATTGTCACTTAGTAAAAATATAAAAATACCCATGAAACCTGAGAATTTAGCACCAAAGTTTATTTGAATAGGTATCAGTCTATTTGAGTCCTGGTACATCTTCTCCTAGGCCGGACTTACATGGAGAGCCCTAAACTGGGAAGGGGGGAGGTGGCCTCTGCCATTGCAAGGGTCTGAGTGCCAGTACTAGCGGCTGCTCATAAATTACTCCTGTAATGACTCCACATGCACTCAGTTGGGGGACTACATCACATTTCCTTGATTCAGCAGCAGTGGGCCCATTAGGGACCAGCGAGACGCCGTGATTTACTACCAGGATCCACTGTAATGCAAGCAGCTTGTCACCCCCCAGGGTGTTGAATTTCCACGGTGGACACTACAAACAAATATTTATGTGTGACATCATGAATATTTATACTGGCTGTAGTCTTAAAAATATATATACTTTGTCATACAGATGTAGGATCTTAATTTGATCACTTCTGTTGCTGAGAATTTTCCAGCACAGCAGGAAATGCGAATTGTAGTGTATTTGAGTTTTTAAAAGGCTTCTAATGTTTGTAATTTCCCCTTTGAAAATTCTATCTCGATTCGCTCTAATGAAAAATGTATCAACCTCTAGAAAAATGTCCAATAATTATCATCTACGTAATAAATCACATTTCCTGTTGCTGTAGTATTATTTTCCCGCTGTAGGAAACGGGCTCAAAATAAGATCCTACGTCTGTACACTGTTTATCTATTAGTAGCCTACTTAAGCTCTTGCAATATGCCTTTTGTAGGCCTGCTACTGCAGTTCTAGCCACCACAGTTGGCTAAATATGGCATGTGAATTGACAGCTGTTCTGTTATTTACACCTGTTACAGTCCCAAATTAGAAGCAAGTGGAATGAGGCCTTTACAAGAAAAGGTGAGGCCCTCTTTTCATAGTTCTCTCTTTTGATGTGAAATATGTTTTTGGTAAGATTCAGTGAGTTTTAAAGTTATAAATGCCACTTGTTTTCTTACAGGACGGTGCTGGATGCTGGAAAAAATGTACATATAACTGGAGAGAACATACAATCAAATGGTTTTACCTACATCCGCTGTGTCCTAACCTATCCTATATTTATGAAGATGAAACATTTGTTGCCTTTATTTGTATTTTCTTCCTTAGTACTCCCTGAAATAGTTAATATCCATGTCCACAACTCAGATGTAAACAACTGTCTGTGTCACTATGTAGTTGTGAATAGGTCTCCATTATATAGAATGAATCGATTGTTCCAGATTGGAGATTAAAGCTGTAAAACTTTGGAATGTTTGTTACAAAAAGATTTTGATTTATGTTTTTGTTTTGTTGAATAAACCTAAAATGGAATAAACCTTCTCTAACCTGAAGTGAAAATGACAATGTTGTCAACGGAAACCTAATGTACTTACTGACGTGATAGAGGGATAGTGCTGATTGTGACATGACATTGCAGTGGCATTTGATAGGGTGAATCCAAGATGATCAGATATCAGTCTACACGGTCCTGGCACTCTGTTACTCTCATGTGAATCCAGTCAAACAGACAGTAAAACCGAGAGTACTGAAAGAACCAGGGCAACAGAACTGCTAAATCAAGAGGCAGAAGAACTTGTCCAGCCTTTGGGCGCTGTCTGGCTCACACACAAAGTGTAACAACAGTATGAAGTATGACTGACCCTCCTGTAACTGTCTCATCACACAGTCATGGACTTATTGGCATAGTGATAAGAGGCGGTGTTGCCAGAGATATGTAGATTGTTGCCAACGATAACAATATGAACAGTTTGGATGATAATGTGTCTTTAAGAGAGTTGGAGAGAGAGAAAGGATGCTGTGACAGTGTCTTTATTCACAACTGGACTAACCTAACATAGCAGGAGGCATGGTAGGCACAAGAGCACCACTAATACAACACCTCCCTCTAGTGTCCTTACTTGCAAATGACAAGATACAGAGAGGTTACTTCTATTACAGTGAAGTTGCTATAAGGCACAGGAGATTGGTGGCACCTTAATTGGGGAGAACAGACTCGTTGTAATGGCTGGAGCGGAATAGGTGGAATGGTATCAAATACATCACATGGCCTCCAGGTGTTTGATGCCATTCCATTTGCGCCGTTCCAGCCATTACTACGAGCCTGTTCTCCCCTCAGCACCCTCAACTGCCATAAGGAGATTCTCTCTCTCTCTCTCTCTCGCTCTCGCTCTCTCTTTCTTTCTTGCTCTCTCTCTCTCTCTCCTCTCTCTCTCTCTCTCTCTCTCTCTCTCTCTCTCTCTCTCTCTCTCTCTCTCTCTCTCTCTCTCTCTCTGTATCCCATGTCAACAGAAAAACCATAAACCAAGGGATTGGTAAACAAATGGTTTCATCTATCAAATGTATGTGGATAATCTTAATGCTGATCGATTACAGTCCAGTCAGTGTCTTACAGGCTACATGATTTATTAAAGTGCTACATGATTGATTAGTAAGGAACGGACCTTGACGCACGCACTAAAATGGTTTTGTACTAGTGCTCTCTCTTCCCTAAACAAGGCCACTTACTTTACCTTCAGAAACAAGCTAGTTCAAGACTCAAAATGTAGTATGGCGATGGCTCTGGAATGGGAACTTCATTTTGGTTCAAATGTAGCTCTGTAACACTGGGTTGCGTAGTTTTAATCACTGGTAATGTAGTGGGCCAGGGCTGGTGGCTGCTGCGTCAAGGGTATCTTTAAAAGCAATGAAATGGCCTGTTTCATCCTGGACCTAGAAGGCTGCCTGCCTGCCTGCCATTTGCTTAAGGATCTGGCACTGTGCCCAGACGGTGCAATAAGTCTAATGGTGGAGCTGGCGGTCACTCCCCTGTATTCATCTTCTATAAATAAATAAAAAAGCACTGTAGCTGGAACACTGGCTGCTAAATCAAGAGCAGAAGAACGTAGGTCTATTTATTTTAAATACATTGATGAAGATCAGCCTGTGAGCTCCCTCATGACATTTTGAAGTTGGTTGCCAGCTCTTGAAACACCTTGTAGCTCTAAACCATTATACACACTAGTTTGTAAAGACACAATCTATAATTGATGAGTCCACTCCCATGAGTGCAGAATCCTGATTATAGTGTTTTGCTTCAGACAAAACCTATTGTGACAGGGTAGGAAGGAACCATAGTTTTGGTCAGTGTTTCCTAGGGGACAGCAATTATTTGCCAACATTAGACATTTATAAAACCATAACCTTAGACCTGTTCAGGTGAGAGGAGAGTTGTTGTACTGAATGTCTTGTGTAGAGTCTGTTTGCCGTGGCATTGCTTAACTGCTCTATTTTAGGTGAGGACCATCAATGCTGTCTTGAACAAATCAAATCAAATCACATTTATTTGTCACATACACATGGTTAGCAGATGTTATTGCGAGTGTAGCGAAATGCTTGTGCTTCTAGTTCCTGACAGTGCAGCAATATCTAGCAAGTAATATCTAACAGTTCCACAACAAAAACCCAATACACACAAATCTAAGTAAAGGAATGGAATAAGAATATATAAATATATGGATGAGCAATGTCATAGTCAGAGTGGCATAGGTCTAAGATGCCAATAGATAGTATACGAATACCAGTATATACCATATTGAGATGGGTAACAAGATATGTAAACATTAGTTACGATAGTATAGAATACAGTATATACATACGAGATGGGGGATACATGCAAGGATATGTAAAACATTATTATTAAAGTGGGGCAATTATTCAAAGTGACTAGTGTTCCCAATTTATTAAAAGTTGTCTGTGATTTTTCAAGTCTGGTATGTAGGCAATTGTTTTGGGGAGAGGTAACAATGTCTGTGTGGTTTATCGGAAATCAGTGATTTGTTAAGCAATGGAAAAAAACCTTTTCTGAAGCACTTATTTCAGTTGAAGTAAGACCTAAGAAGCCTTTTGTGTACTTGTGTAAATATTGAGTACTGTTAGCATGTTACATACAAGCAATCCTAAACCTTTATTTTTCAAATGTTGCTTTTTTTTGTTGTTATATATCAGTTGAAGCTCCTCAGAGGAGAGAGGGGAGGATAGTGAAACATTAAAAAAGTTATCCTTTTTAGATAAAACTATACCAAATACACTACCGGTCAAAAGTTTTAGAACACCTACTCATTTAAGGGTTTTTCTTCTTTTTACTATTTTCTACATTGTACACGTGAAGAGGTGTGAAGGAAGGAGTCAGGCACAGGAGGTAAAATACAGAAGTCCAGAGTTTATTCCGTTTACATAAATCAAACGCTCCAAGTGTCAAAACAAAACTAACAAGGGAACACATCCACCTTGGCATAAACACTAAGAATAGTAGCTCAACCGAGCTACACGCTCTCACAAACAATCACTCATAAAGACAAGGGGAACAGAGGGAACACTTATACACATACTAATTAGGGGAATGAGCACCAGGTGTGTGTGATTGACAATACGTGATGAGAATGGGATCGGCAGTAGCTAGTGCTCCGGTGACGACGAACGCCGAAGCCTGCCCGAACCAGGAGGGGGGGGGGGGGCAGCTTCGGCGGAAGTCGTGACAGTACAATAATAATGAATACATCAAAACTATGAAATAACACATATGGAATCATGCAGTAAACAAATAAGTGTTAAACAAATCAAAATATATTTTATATTTGAGATTCTTCAAATAGCCACCCTTTGCCTTGATGACAGCTTTGCACACTCTTGGCATTCTCTCAACCAGCTTCATGAAGAATGCTTTTCCAACAGTCTTGAAGGAGTTCCCACATATGCTGAGCACTTGTTGGCTGCTTTTCCTTCACTCTGCGGTCCAACTCATCCCAAACAATCTCAATTTGGTTGAGGTCGGGGGATTGTGGAGGCCAGGTCATCTGATGCAGCACTCCATCACTCTCCTTCTTGGTAAAATAGCCATTACACAGCCTGGAGGTGTATTGGGTCATTGTCCTGTTGAAAAACAAATGATAGTCCCACTAGATGGGATGGCGTATCGCTGCAGAATGCTGTGGTAGCCATGCTGGTTAAGTGTGCATTGAATTCTAAATAAATCACAGACTGTCACCAGCAAAGCACCCCCACACCATAACTCCTCCTCCTCCATGCTTTACGGTGGGAAACACACATGCGGAGATCATCCGTTCACCCACACCGCTTCTCACAAAGACACGGCGGTTGGAACCAAAAATCTCAAATTTGGACTCCAGACCAAACAACACATTTCCTACGGTCTAATGTCCATTGCTCGTGTTTCTTGGCCCAAGCAAGTCTCTTCTTAATATTGGTGTCCTTTAGTAGTGGTTTCTTTGCAGCAATTCGACCACAAAGGCCTGATTCACAGAGTCTCCTCTGAACAGTTGATGTTGAGATGTGTCTGTTACTTGAACTCTGTGAAGCATTTACAGTGGGGAAAAAATGTATTTAGTCAGCCACCAATTGTGCAAGTTCTCCCACTTAAAAAGATGAGAGAGGCCTGTAATTTTCATCAAAGGTACACGTCAACTATGACAGACAAAATGAGAAAAAAATATCCAGAAAATCACATTGTAGGATTTTTAATGAATTTATTTGCAAATTATGGTGGAAAATAAGTATTTGGTCACCTACAAACAAGCAAGATTTCTGGCTCTCACAGACCTGTAACTTATTCTTTAAGAGGCTCCTCTGTCCTCCACTCGTTACCTGTATTAATGGCACCTGTTTGAACTTGTTATCAGTATAAAATACACCTGTCCACAACCTCAAACAGTCACACTCCAAACTCCACTATGGCCAAGACCAAAGAGCTGTCAAAGGACACCAGAAACAAAATTGTAGACCTGCACCAGGCTGGGAAGACTGAATCTGCAATAGGTAAGCAGCTTGGTTTGAAGAAATCAACTGTGGGAGCAATTATTAGGAAATGGAAGACATACAAGACCACTGATAATCTCCCTCGATCTGGGCCTCCCAGATCTCACCCCGTGGGGTCAAAATGATCACAAGAACGGTGAGCAAAAATCCCAGAACCACACGGGGGGACCTAGTGAATGACCTGC